TCACCTTTATAATAACTACATAAGATAATATTGTAAAATAATTTATACTAATAAAGTCGTTATAAATTGTGAACTTATAAGTATAGCCGGTTTGTCCAATAATAATAATTGTTGATCTTGGAAAGAATTTCCATATTTTACCGTACTTTGACAGAAAATTTTCTACTAGAACTCGAAGCTGCATCTCTGGGTTAACTTCCGCCAAAATCTAAAGACATTTACGTCAAGGAATATTTGTTATTCAAAGCTTGTGACTTGAACATTTCAAATTCGGTTAAAAAATCTCGCACGCGAGATTTTTTAATCCATGTAAAACTTTATGGAAATAAAAGTTTAACCCTTTCTTTAATTGTCTTTAATTGTAACCACAGTTAGCTACATAGAAAAAAATGTTTTTTTTTATGCTTTCCACAGATATAATATTCGGTATGGTTATTTTGAAAAATGGGAGAACTAAAGCGTTTTTAACTATGGTTTACATTTAAAAAACTTGAAGTTTATGTTATAACTTGAAAACAAAAGTGCACACGGACAATTTGATCAAACTGTCTGATTAACATCGCAGAAACCTGAAACTTTGTAATTTCAATTTTTTTTTGTAAAATAAATAGCAACGGAGCTACAAGGAATTGACCGAATTCGAATTTTTCCAAATATCTAGCCAGCCATAACGTTTTTTCAAAAAACAGAAATAACATTTAATAAGGATGATAAAACTGCACATCTTTCCTCATTTAAACTTGTTTGTATCTCTGCTACTTTCCCAGATATCTACACTAAAAAAAAAACTCACCCTGTATATCAGTAGGTGTATCATTAACTGGGATTTTAATATTGCTACAAACTCTCTATCAGATCAAAGCTCGTACTGACAGATATGATTTTCGGGAGAAAATACAGATTAAGTGGTAGTCAAATTTAATAAATCCTATTTTTCCCCGTAATCTAATCAATCAAATATACTCGCTATGTTAATAATCTCTAACATTTTGTGTACATCGAAAATATACTTTTTGAAAGAGAATGGAAAAATAAGTGAATGAACCAGAGACGGCCGGGAAAAACCTGAAATTCAAGATGGGATTTATACACAACAACAAAAACAAACAGTGAGCCCATTCAGGCTTGCTTGGAATACCTAACCACAAGTTATCATTGATATTGGTTATTTTTATATCAGCATGCCTAAGGCTTTATCGCGTTTCCACCAAAAAGTCTGCGCGATAGCAACGCATTTTCTTATACTATATGCCAGATAAACAGGAGATGTCTTATAATTGATATACCTATAATTTGTATTGTTCCTGTAAACTCTACCACACTCAATCACTTGTGCACGTGATAGAGATTCCCAAAGCCGACATCACTGGTTTTTTTACGCAATGTTCAAAGTTCCATCAGTAGACATCGGAAACTTTGTGGCGACAATCAGATAAATAAACAGTAGTAATCTATATTGTGCTAAAAAACGACAATACATGCTGTAGTACCAGAAATATGCCTAACCTGTCGTCAAACTGTGTGCCGCTCTATGCTTACGATGCACAGTGCTACAGACTGCCATAAAAACACGTGGCATACACTCGACCAAACTCACTCACGCACTCACAAACGACAGTGAAATGACAGGGCAGGCATTAGGGTGCCGCTAGATGCGTATCGAATAAATTGATCGATGCGAAGCTTCAGAATGTGAAGTAGTTGATGCTTTGCCACCATTAGCAAAAATAGCATCTATTAAAATCAACTCTTATCTATTTCCTTATGAGTAAGACATTATTATTTTGTTAATTTTTTTCTGGTACTTGCTATTACGTACTATACCTATATATTTTATGGTACACATCAGTAAGTACATACTGTAGAGGTAATTAGTATTTGTTCTAAAAATATTTTTCCTGCCGTGGGATTCCGCTTAGATAAATCCACTCATTTAAAATATAATTTCGTAATTTTTTGAAGCCTCCAAATAAATAAATAAATCGCTGATATTTCCACACTGTAGACTATTTTTCGATTCCAACATTTAAGGTTGTTATTTATCTACTCGTGCTCACGAAAAAGTTCAATGTCAATGTAATATCGTAAGATTACGAGCGGGGCAAACAAGTAATCATAATAATAGTCCAGTCGGATTAGACAAAAAAAGGGCTTAACCGGGAAAAAATTAGGGACCACAATTTTATTGTTCTAACCTTTAGGGGGGGGGTAGGGGTCAATAGTAGTGTAAATTCAGAATCGCGACTGAATTCCATCCCTGCATCAGCCGCCATCTTGAATTTAAGTAAAAATCGTTTTTGCTCAATATCTCGACCATTTTCAACTTTACAACAAAAATGGTAAGGACTTAAGTTGTTGCAAATGCGATTTCCTACAACTTCTTTAATTACAAATTTTATTGTACAATCGATATTTTTCAAGTTAAGAGGGAAAATAGTGACAAAGTATAATTATTGAATTATCTCGTTTGTTATTGACTTTACGACATAAACGTACATAAACAAAGTTGGAAAGAATTATATTTTCTACAGTTTTGATCTCTTTAATTTTTTCGCTACTACCAACATTTAAGGTCCTACGCCTATGGCAAGCCTAACTAAACTCAAGGGATCATCATTCCATAGGCCTGACGTCACCGGTAGCTGGCCATGAACAATAATGGTCCAAACTTTATAAGAAAAAATAAATTTTAAAAAACATGGCTTACACCTTTAACGCTTGCAAGAAACTTTTATAAAGAGGAAGACGGCAGAAGTCGCAAATATCTTGCAAGCAATGACACGTGGATTAGGCCTATTGGAGATACCACGTAAAAAAACGCGCCTGAAACTCTACTCCGGTGGTGGTGTGGAAAAGAGTTTGCAAAAACGAATTTGGGACCTTAAATATTGGTTATAGCGAAAAAATTAAGGTGATCAAAATTGTAGAAAATATAATTCTTTCCAACTTTGTTTATGTACATTTATGTGGTAAAGTCAATAACAAACCAGATAATTCAATAATTATACTTTGTCACTATTTTCCCCCTTAACTTGAAAAATATCGATCGCACGATAAAATTTGTAAATAAAGAAGTTGTAGGAAATCGCATTTTCAACATCTTAAGATCTTACTATTTTTGTTGTAAAGTTGAAAATGGCCGAGATATTGAGCTAAAACGATTTTTCCTTAAATTCAAGATGGCGGCTGATGCAGGGGTGGAATTCAGTCATGATTCTGCATTTACACTACTATTAACCCCCCGTAAAGGTTAGAACAATAAAATTGTGGTCCCTACTTTTTTCCCGGTTAAATGACAACTCGACTGGGCTATAAGTACAACAAACGTGAATTAAGCTTCTATAAATAAACGTTCTTCTGTACATATAATTCTCAAATTAAATAAGGATAGCCCGTGTTGATTTGTCTAATTGCTTCATTTGTGCAAGCGTAAAACATGAAAACATCAGCTGCGAAACGCTGACATTTCATTAAAATTGTGTTGCAAAGGGAGGGGGTCAGAATTTAGTGTAATAAGAGATTTATTTAGCTGTTAACCACTTGTTTACAACGTCACTGATATATTTTCGCCATAAAAAGAGAAGTACTTGATTTTAGACTTGGAACATTCGGTGGCAATGAACCAAACAAAGCAGTACCTTGTCCTGTTTTCTTTCTCTACTTGGGATTTCCTATTTCCACATTAATATATAGGGTGGCGCCAAGGTATCCGAGATACTTCGTATACGACTAATTTTCAGCTTGGCCTAATCATAGGAACCAACTCATTGAGAAGATTCATACAGCGTTTCATGAGGGGAACTACAACTGGAAACGAGAGGATTCACATTTTTTTAAGCCCTCTATTCGCAACAATGTAATTTACTTTTTAGCAACTACCCCTACGAGCTGGCGAATTCAAACCCCGATATTTCAAAAACCATTGGGAACTGGGGAAAAGTGGACAGAATAATCATTTTTACTTAAAATTAGTCATAGAATTAATATACGAATTATCTCGGATATTTCGGCGACCACCCTGTATTGCACGTCATGTACTTAGAAGGAAATGGTAATTCACAGATAATAAATATACTTAATTATTTACTACGATATTCAGACGTTTTTAAAATGTATTTAAACATTTATCGAGGTCTAGGAATACCTTTTAAATATTAATTATTTCACAGGAAATTTTGAGTATTTATTTAAATTGTTATTAAATTTTTTATGTAATCCATAATTATTACAACCTCGAATCACGATGATTTAGACTCCTCCCAACAACCCTACGAAATAAACATTTCTAACCTCAATTTTTGATTTATGCTCCAATTTTATCAAAGTATCATTGTACCCACTCAAATAATCGTATTTAATTTCAATGAAGGCTTTTACGATCAGATTGAATTCGGCTGTAAATGATAAAAATTAAATAACACAATAAACATTTTAGATAATAAAACTTTTGGAATAATAAAATCATATCTGCACTTTCAGTAAACATCGAATTCGTTAGGTGCCCATTTTAATTGTAATAAAAGATTATGCTGCCCCAATAAAAGTAGTGCTTATGTTTTAGTAGGACACCATAAAATGCTATCTACTGATATTGTTCAAATATGTTATCAGTACATGTCCTTAGCTGACCAAAAATTGTGCCGCAAGACACAGTTTGGGGCCCTAGGCAGCTTTGAGATCTGTTTATTAGTACATTTATGATTGGTAAAGTGCAACGTTCTTCACGACATTGTCGTATGAGTCAGATTGCCTTCAAATCCCTGTTATCAATAACAGACATACTTCCTATTACAATCTAAAATTCCGCGGTAATCCCTAACCAGTGTCGTCTTTAGGATTCGCCAAATTAGTAACTACTTTTTTCAGTTCAATATTTCTTGTTTTTTTGTGAACATTTTCGCTTATCATAAGTTAGTTTTCTTTATTTGCTGTTTCACATTTTGACCGTACGCGTCGTTTACCAATGTTTCCTCGAAAGCTTAAAGATCAACAAAACTTACCTTCTTAAAGGACGGGTTGGCCATGCGTTGAAAACAAAAAAGCCTGATAGGGTTGCACAGCACACTTTTCGACTCTTAGGACGGAACACCGCGATGATTCAAACTATAAACAAAACAATGGAGCTCGGCCTCGGTTACCTGTACCAGTGAGTTTATACCCGATGACATAATTCAGTTAATGCCGCGATTGAACTGACGCGCGGGCTTAGCGCGAGTAGATGCCTCGGCCAAGACGAACGTATCGTTTTCTTATCTCGAGATTTGTTGTTGTTATTGCTCGCTTTCGTGCTGATCGCATGTAGTGCGGGCGTATTTTTGCACACGTGCGGCACGCTGTCACGAAAAAATTTGCAGTTTCGATAGAAACGGTGAAAATTCGGAACTAGACAGCAGCGGAAGGGACGGCGATTAATATCGTAGAGCCGTTAAACAAGTTTGAGGCTTTATGTATGATAATATTCCTTTATCATTGCTGTGTTCAAAATATGCATTTGTTTCGTTGCAATTTAAGAAAAAAAAAAACAAAATAGTGTCCAGGTGCTGTCCAAGTCAAAGATTTTAATGAAAGTAGCAATTAAGCACATATACAAGAACCCACCGATGAGCAATTTTTAGTAGTTTGACTGCCATTACATCAGCATGAGATAGAGTAATCATAAATGAACAAAAAAGTTGTACATTACAGGGGCGTAAAATTAATAGTTTTCAAAATACAGCGAGTATTAATATTGGGGAGCTTCATCACAACGTGACAACGGCGCTACACAGCTGATGCACATCACGTGTACACGTGGCAAACTTGTCCTGCGGAAAAAATGTAAACAGCTATTATTGTGAAACATTTAGTAAATTTCAAGGCAATTGTTTTCCAGTTTTTAAATAATTAAAATAAAATTTATCGATTTTGTTGTACGTAGTGTTGTGCTTAAATTTTAGCTCGAATTTTAGTAATTATGAATCTCTTAAAACAGGAACTTCACTTTTAATCAAATTACGTATTTGAAAAATATATAATTAAAGTACCCAAAGACTCACGTCTTCCAAATAATCATACGTATTAAAAATAATTTAGGTGCTTACGAAGAAGCAAAATTCAGTAATTTTTAAACGTACGAGTACAAAACAAACTACAACACATGCTCAGAATGTCCACCATTTGCTGGAAAACACCTCAAGCAAAGGAAATAGTGGTACGCAGAAAACACTCCGACACGGTCGAATCCAGATACCAACTGAATTGCGTATTGGTGCTTGCTGGACACCTTAGTACCTCGTAGAAAATATTTAATATAACTGCAACTGTAGCAAAAATATCAAGCATAATTAAACAGAAATGCCGCCTGTCCGTAACTGATAACTAAGGCTCGGGGTTTTCGTCGGCTAGTCATAGGCGTGTTCGTACACAGGTAAATATAAATAAAAATGAATAAATTTATGTACTTTATCAGCGAAAGGTTGTCTTTACCCCTTTGCGACATTATTAGAATATTAATACACGTATACACAAAGCCAATAACTGCCGTTATTATCGGTTTCATACGGTGCGCCGTAGCCAAAGGCCTACGCGACGGTTTTGATTATCAGACCGAGTCCCGAGCTTTACTGATAACTGACAAATTGAAACCCATTTTTCTCTGGTGTAATTCTACAACATGAACAACACGAGTATAACTTTTTTTACTGTGAATAAAGTGAGATAATTCAAGTGATCATATTTTGATAATAACATGTGACGTAAGCTATTTTTTAGGGGATGATTTCTAGGTCCATAAAAGAAATTTGCAAAATAAAAAAAATTGAATTAGAGGTTGCCAGCCTTGGAATCTCGAAAAGAGCACAGATTCGTAAATATTTTTTTCGCAATCAACTGATAGACACAAACAGCAGATTCTTTTATTCTTCTCAAAATTTTCGTTTTTCATACAGGTAATTTAAATAGGTATAACTACGTAGAAAATTTTTAATTTGTACATCCCTTTTTGGAGATCTCTTATTTTAACTTTTCATTTTGTAAAGACATTTCGAAATCTTTTCGTTATAAAAGTTCTTTGTATGAAGCAAAAATTAGCCTAAGCGTATAGGTCTTTCACTGTGGAACACCCTGTATAGAATGGGTCTTAGAAATAATAAGTACTTGGCAAATATATTAACGAAGTTTTTTTTTTAATTTTGTATCAATTCTGCAAGGTAAGGTGTTTAGCTTTTAGGTGACCTGTGCGACTGAATCAAAGTTTCAGTCACTTATCATTTTGTGTGGCAATTTTCTAGCATGTATGTTTACGCGGAATCTAAGACGTCGGACAGCGTTATTCCCAGCCACGCTAATGTGTATATAAAATCCCAGACTATACGACAATCAATATTGTTGCTATTTGGATTAGATTTCGCGGAACCCTGTTAAACACACACTTTTCCGACTAGAGACATAAATAAACTTTGTGTACGTGTAATAATAGATCGTAATCGTTACTTAATAACCAATAAATTATCTAGTTTCTGTTTTAACAACAAAGGTTTTCCCCTAATCTGTGAAAACCAGGATGGTGGGCTATTTTAAGCACAGAATCAGTTTTTGGTTAATTTACGACGTGTATTTTTTCCAAAGTACCAATGGTGGCATTGTAATTCTGTTTCTGAAGTGTCAAGAAGAAGAACTGGGATCAAAATTGGAGACAAAAAGGTACCACAGGCAAGCTATGATGATGGGCAACTTGATATTAGAAAAGATGTCTGCCCATAGTATACATA